TGCGCTAAATTCAGTTTCCTCATAAAAAGGCCTTACAATGTATCTAAAAAGTTGTAAATATATATATTATATATGTCACTGCTGCTAAACACCGTACCTGTAAGAAATTCATTGCCTCATAAGTGGGAAGTGTCGATTTTAGCAATAAACTCAAAAGAATTAATCATAAATCGCTTAATCCATCCATCCACTTTATCCAAGTCTAGACGGTTTTAGTTTGAGAAATTACATCATTAGTAGATCCTTTTTGAAGAAATATTAAAAATGTATTTAGCCATAAATAATTATCAGCCACATCGTCCCAGCTGGTTTTCCATCATACCACAGTCATTCTGACAACATGCCATGAAGGTAAATTACATTTTGTGTATTAAAAGGCTCTTAAAAAGTCTTAATTTTTACTTGTCGAACCAAAACCTTGTTAACGGTTGGAGATATTTTGCCATTTCTTTAGGTGTTATATCGTAATTTTGGTAAATCTTCAACATTTACACATTATAGTTACAACAAGGACTTTTTTTTAACACTTGGCTTCTTAATTGTGACTGTATGTCGCATTATCTTCCAAAAAGCTTGTATCAGATGATCCTCCTTCACCTTCACGTCTTCTATCTGACCTTAGATTAATTCTTGAGATTCCAGACATGGCTCTCATATTTGTGGCTATTTTTTTGAATTGTAGACATGTCTGTCAGTGTCACAAACACAGCTTGATATTTATTTTGGCTGCTCTGCGCTGCAGTTGACGACATTCAGAAATCTCAGTCATAGCTGCAGTTCCTACTGGTTAAATGGAGGGTGTGTCTGTTTGCCTGGAAAAGGGTGTGTAGGCCTGATAAAAGAGTCCATTACTTAGCAGCCTTTATGGAGCCTTTCACTGCTGCAGCGTGGAGTCAAAGCGGGGGCTTGTTCCTGGCTGGCAGACCCGGGCCCCGCTCCATGGGTCGGCCACCTCGGCCTCAATGGCAGGCCTGTCTGGAGACCCCATGTCACGACTTCCTGAGAGGGAAGTTGTTTCAGCTGCTGCTTCGCTGTCCTTTGCAGTGAAAAGAGTGGGTGGGAAAGTGTCTTCGTGCAGAGAACCAAGTGTCTTAAACAAGAATTTAAAAAGTTAAGAAAACCTCTAGAAACGAGGCTCTACTTCCAGCGAAGTCAGTGAAGGTGCTCCGGTGGTGCAAATGCATGTGTGTGCTTGCAGAGGAGGGGGTCTGGAATCTTGTAATCTTTCTCAGGATATAGTTAACCTTGTTGCTGCCTGACAAAGACCTCAGTGACTGAAGAGTGGGAGTGTTTTCTTAGCACATGAAAAGAGGGAGGCTGTTGTTCAAGAGGCCGTGTTTGACTTCGCCGTGTCTGCCGTCACACTGTGAAATTCCACAAAGCCAATGTTAAACTCAAGGTCTTCATAACCGCGGCTGATATTTCACGGCCCTGTCAAAGGAGGGCAGACACGACTGGAAATGCTGTTAATCGTTAACCGAGGAAGATGTGTGGCTTCGAGGTGGCGGTGTGCAGCCGTACGTTTTACAGTTGGATCAGGTGTAGAGCATCTGAGCCAGTTCATGTTTATATATTCACCAGAGGTTCCCACGTGGCGTAAATATGACATAAATACAAAAGAAATAAAGTCAGAGAAGGTTTGATGTGCATTTTGCAAGGAGTTATGCTTAAAGTTGCAGTTGGAGGACAGATTAATCGATTGGTTGTCAATTATTAAGTTAATTTTGATAATAAATGAATGAGTTTGAATCATTTTATTTAGAATTCAGCTTCCTAAATGTTAGTATTTTCTGATTTTGTTGCTCCTTTATGGCAGTAAACTGAATATTTCAGGGTTTAGGCAGAACAAGAACAGGATCCTTGAACTAGTTATCTGAGATAAGCCAAAAATAGATAAAAAACAAAAACAAATATAAACTTAAAATTGCGATATTTCATTAAAATTCCTTTATTCTATGCCTTGTTTAAGATATTGTCAAAAATAAACTGTTTGCATGAGCCAGATTTTCGAAAAAAAGAAAAAATTCTGTGCTTCTTAGTGCAAACATGAAGTATTAAATTATCTATAGTGTGTAAGAAGTGCCACTTTGTCCAGTATTGATAACACCTGTAGGTATAACGGTCACAAAAATTCAACTTTTGTTTTGTTTGTTAGAATTAATGTCATAATAACTGTGTCTTCCTGGACAGAATGTATTTGTGAGTTCTCTCTACTTCTGTTTGTGCTGTTTCCATAGAGGTGCAGGACTTTATATTGCAGTAAAAAATATGTCAGGAGCAACTACACCAAGACCTGGCTCGGAGTTCAGAGGGTTAACAGCCCAGAATGCAGTAAATCCCAAAAAATTGGATTAGCTTTTAAGTAAACGGAGTAAATGTGATCAGACACGAGACGCTTACAAGCTGTTGAGCTGTGAAGCTACAGTTTGTTTACATGCTCATCCCATTACAAGTTTGTGCGTCATTTAAAAAAAAAAAAAAATCCTCTGCAGGAAACTGGCGGGTTGTGTTGAAGTAGGTGAGTCAAGATGATTTAAAGTTGTCTCGCTGCAGAAGAAAGTTCCAGCTGTAAACAGATCGATATCTAGCAGAGTGAAAGGAAGGTGATTTAACTTTTATATTTAGAAGCTAAAAACCGGCCGTCCTCGTCTGGAGCTGCTGCTCGGTGTTTGTCGGTGGAATCCAGTCCGCCGGGCTCGGTCCCAGTGTGGGAGCTCAGCAGGCCTCCTCCGTGGCCCCGGGGCCGACTCAGGCACACAGCAGGAATGTGACTCCACGATATGACCTGAAGAAATGAAATGTCACACATGAAGAATGCTGGGAGCTCTGAGAGGTTGCCATGGGCCGGGTTAGGTGTTTATGTTGGAGCTGAGGGGCTGTTTGTAGGGAATTATTGATCAGACGTTGTTGTGCTTGGTGGATAAATGCAGGAAGAAACATGCAGAAAACATTATTGTGTCAAACAGCCTTTTTCTGATGAGTTTTCACAGCAACAGGTTCATTTCAAACCTGATGGCAGTAGCTCAGGAGGAGTTTTATTAATGACCTTTGCTGGTTGCAGCTTCATAAAAGTGAAGAAGTTTCTGTTTGTCTGCCCTGAGCAGCAATTTCGAACCCTTTAGTTTTATGACTTCCGCAATTTAAGACATCATCTCTCAGGCAATTCTCAGTTATCGACATTTTAATAACATGTAATCAGCCCAGCTGTCTTTCCGTATTCATGTTTACTTACTGCCTGGTGCAGTCATCAAATTGGAGTTAATGATTAATTGTCGTACAAATAGCTGTGTTTTTCCTCATCATTTCACGCCTGTATTAGGTTTATATTTGAAGTATTAGCGCTTATGAATACCAACTTTTTCCCCCCCAACAATCAGTCCAACAAATCGGCTCTCCTTTTTTAATTTGGCTTAAAACCCCAACGTGCCCTCAGCGATGCTTCAATGCTTGTTGTCTTTGCAGCTAAATCTATGACATTAATATCAATACGTGCTCATCGGAGTGCAGGCGGTTGAATATTAGAAGTTAAAGAACCTCGAGATAAACCGTCGAGGCAGCAGAAGAAGGAAATGGTGGGAAAACAACATGGAAGTTGTGGTTTAAACACCACACTTCTGTTTCCTACAGCTGTTTTAATCACGGAGAATGGAATTACAATGCAAAGTGTCGGCTCAGATAAGTGGGATCAGGTGATAATGTCATCGTTGTGAATGCCCTTTATGCCTGTTTTTGGGTTGACGAAACTGGAAAAAAAATAACTTTACTGCTCGTAGGTTCATAAAAAAGGTGGACAATTTTGGCATGTCGTGTTGTAAATCATAAATCTGCACTGGCTCACTCTAGCATTAATAGTAGTGTGCTTATTTAGTCATCGTAACATGTCCTATTGTAAAATATCCTTTGTTGGAAAGAAGGACGTGAACCTGTTGGTGAGGAAACACGAAAGTTTAAGAAATTGGGATTCAAGTGATCCCAGCGTTTGTTTGAGTAATTTTAGACATTTTTTCTCTGTCAAACATAGAAAAACAGACACAGTATTTGGTATGATGAATCATCTTCTTACTGTTTAACTCGTCGGATACATGCTCTAATAAATAATCATTAATAATCACAATCAAGAAAAGTGTCACTTGAATATAACAGTAGTCAGAGCTGCTATTCAAGTCTGATGATGGTTAATTTGTCGTTTTTCTTACTGATTAGTCGATTAATCTAAACTGTAAATGTTCTTCAAAAGGTTCTAATTGACAGTTTCATTAAAATTCATTGTTTTTGAGCTTTGTGAGTGTATTTAGCAGCTGCAAGGACAAAACTCACAAAGTTCTCACTGATGATAAACAGTTTTCTGAAGATCTCCCACATTAGCTCCAGTGTGTTTCCTCTTCATGTGTTGTGCTGCTGCTGTGGTCTGCCATGGAAACGTTGCACTGTGTTCAAACCCCTTTTTTGTTTCTGATCATTTGAAGTGCTTTAAACTTTAATAATGAAATAAACTGGACTTTGCTGCAGCCACCGTTGTGTAAAACAGTAGTGCAGCCGACCGGTGAGCCAAAAACAACTGATGATGCAGTGATTATGTGGAGATTCAAAATAAAAGCCTTTGTTATAATGACATGAATCATTTTAATTAATTATACTTGTATAACGCCGCAGGCTGTATGCTATTAATCATTTTACGGCTTCGTTATTTGACCTTTGCACACCTTAACACATTGAGACAACACCGTCGTTCCTGTACTTTCAGTTTCACTCAGTCTCACTGTTTTAACATTTGCTGCTCTTATCTGACTACATACCAAAGCTTATTATTCAGTTTTATCATTAAAAAAATCTGCTGTCTTCTCCCAAGTGCAGAGACATCCTTCATGAAATCAAATCCCTTTGCCTTGATTTGTTGTGTGGCTTTATAAAAAAAAGCCTGTAAGGAACCTGCTTGCAGCCTTCATGTGTTTTGTTTTGGTGTTTTTAGTGTTTCATGTGTGCTGTGTTTCTCCCTGCAGATGGATGGAGGCCTGCCTGGACGAGGAGCTGCCTCCCACTACAGAGCTGGAGGAGGGTTTGAGGAATGGCGTCTATCTGGCCAAACTGGGCAACTTCTTCGCGCCGCACACGGTTTCCCTCAAGAAGATCTACGACCGCGAGCAGACGCGCTACAAGGTGAGAAAACACGGAGTGCATTCAGAAAATGTAAAGTAGGGCGCATAGCTGAGATCAGCCGGTAGTGTTTTGGTTGCTTTCTGGTATTTAGACCAACACTTTGCAGGTGCATCTGAGGTATGTCAGCTGTCGCAATTAATTGATTTGTTTTGGTTAATTTAAACTATTCCAAATATTTTGATAATTATTTGATTGGCAGAAGTTAAAAAAAAGGCAAAAAATTGATTTAATTTATTAAATATGATTTCTTTTTTGGTTTGTTTCCTCCTCTATGACAGTAAAACTGAATATCTTTGGTCATCCTGGGCTTTGGGAAACACTGATCGTCGTATTTCACCGTTTGTTGACATGTTACTGTGCATACAACTAGTCGATTAATCGGGAACGTAATCGACTGATTGTTAATGGAAGTAATCAATTGTTGCAATTTTTATGCAAAATAATCTGCTTTGAAAAGCCTCAAGTGTAAAAAGATTAAATGATAGCAATTGTGTGTCATGTTAAAGACGTCACTAACGTTAATTTGACTTCATAAATACAGACGAATCCTCTGTACAAAACAAAAACAATCCACTTCTGATTTCTGAATAAAAGACCACACCGTTGGAAATATTCTCTTTTGGGACCCATGAATAGTTGTCGCAGTGTTTCTTGAGATATCTTCTAGTTTTTGGACATTCTGAACAACCACAAATTCTTTGATTCATCTGTAAGTGGAGAAAAAACTGTCAACAATCACGATAAAATAACAAAAACCCTCGGTGACATAATACACAGAAAGAATAGTTCAATTTAAAATCACATAATATACATCAAAAAGGTAAAAATTACTTGACCTTTAAAGGTTTATCCTAAAACGAAGCATTATGCAGCCCAGTGCTGCTATTTCAACCATCATCCTGTCTGGGTTTGTTAACAGAGTCATATTTTTATAGCCTTTTAAAAAGCAGGAAGTGTCAGTCAAGTCCTCAGGAGAGTTCAGACGACATACCAAAGTGATTTAAAGCCAAAAGGTGACTTGGCTTCAGAAATAGAGAACTATTGTTTGGCCACTAAACACTCCTCTGACATTAATGGAGCTGCAGAAAGATTTTAGCCCGAATGTAACTGAGATATTTATAGTTGTACAAGTGACAAAAGACAAGTTATTCTTTTATTTCTAGTTCATTGCAGTCTGCGTGTTTTCCCATTTTCATGTGTTGCTGAAGCATTTATCTGAACGGGGTCTCGTTTTACGGTCCTCGTTCTCAGTGTTTGGACCAAAGCCTCTAAAGAGAGAGTGAACATGGTCTTTGTTCTGCTCTGATGTTTGTTTTTGTTCTCCTACAGGCGACTGGTCTCCATTTCAGACACACAGACAACGTCATCCAGTGGCTCAACGCCATGTCAGAGAAAGGACTGCCGAAGGTGAGCTCGGCCCGAAGTCCATCTGGACCTCACACACAGAAACAGATAGCATCACAAAAGTAGTTACAGCTTGAATTAGGGTCATGCAATAATAGCTGTTTCTAAGTGATTTCTAGCCACTAAATGCATGTTGTACAGATCTGCCTGCCTTAAAGAGCCCATACTGTGTTTTTTTGGCTTCTCCTTTCCTTCAGTTGTTATACAGCTGCTCCTTGTGCATGTAAAAAGTCCACGCCGAAGACACTTCATTTCTGCTATAGAAAACTCTGCTCCTTCCCAGCTTGAAATGCCTCGTTTGAAGTCCAGGCTTTTCTGTTGTTACTTATCTACATCATCATGTCACATATTTGCATAACGCCTGTGGAGCAGCTAGTTTGTCACGGCCAAGAATAAAGAAATCCGCCATTATTTCCTCATTAGAGATGCTTCTACTAGAGCTACATATACAAGAGCTACAGATGTAGTGTTGTGGTACGTAACCAACGTTTCCTGGATTTCGTTGGACTGGCCGACCAATCAGAAGCTAGACTTTTCAGGAGGCGGGCCTTTAAGAAACATGAGCTAAAACGCAGTATTGCAGACAGACAATGTGCAGAACAAAAGAAATGATGTGACTTTTGAACTTTAAAGCATAAACATATTTTTTAAAAAACCCTCAAAAACAATATTATAAACCTCTAAATATGTATAATATGGGCTCTTTAAAGTTAGTTTGAGATTTCAATCAAGGCTCAACGACCAAAGCACACACTTTGGTTTGACATTGATTTTTGACCTTGAAGGCGCCACCTGGGAGCAGTTATTTGCAGCACTATATAAAAATCAGCCTGTGTACAGTTGAGTTAGCAGTAGACCAATAAAATCTGGTTGATTAAATGTCACTTTGCACCGACTGCCGACCGCTAAGAGTAGCTACACTCCCTACTGACCCTGGTAACGCAGCTAATGGGTTGTTTTCCATGTTGAATATGAGCTAAGATCTTAAAAAGCTGAACTGTACATCGCAGCGATGCACAATGCATTGATTATGCTGTTGCTAAATAGTGTTCAGTGCATTAAAAAGTGTGGGTTTTGATTACTTTATTCCTTGATAGCTCCAGTTTTTATTTAGCAGAAGTGCACTACATGTAATTAAACAAACAGAAAATGCTGATATGTGAATACAATGGTTTGGTCTTCTTCTTCTCATTATTATTATTATTATTATTATGAAAGATGAGTCTTTAATAAATCCTTATCATGGCTACAAAACCATGTGACAAAAATTTAGTGTAACTTTGGGTGTGGTCAACAAGTGGTTGTTCAATGGCCCATACAATACTAAGGAAGTCTTTAGAGCGAATGAAATACAATTTTTTATTATTATTATTAGTAGTAGTTGTAGTAGTAATAGTAGTGGTAGTAGTAGTAGTAGTAGTAGTAGTAGTAGTAGTAGTAGTAGTAGTATGGTTCTGTAGCTGTGTCAAGTGTTTATTAAAGGCTCTTTTTTTGTAGTACAGTCAAGAAAACTTCAATATTTGTGGTTTAAGTAGGTTGCTTAAATCTTTCTGTGTTTTCTAATCTCTGCTTTTGAAAATATCATCACGAGGCATTGACTCTGTAAGACAAACGTAATGAATGAAGTCATTGGTTTATTGTGAAAATTGATGCAGACAGTTCTGAAATCTTGAATGTTCGTGTTTTACACTGAGAAGGAAAGAGGTTTTAGTAGTAGCTGTGTCTGGAAATATGTACCGACGGATTTGTTCCCTCAAACATGTCCTCAAGTCGGTGCATGTTGATTTTCACACTGTGGTGTAATTAGCTGAAGCCAGTAGCTCCCTGGAAGGTACAAAAACTGTTTTAAATGCTATATGCTCTGGAGAAAGGTCAGAATGCCAGTAAAGAGTGTGTGTTTTAAAAGGTCCTTTATGACATAAACAGTGGCCTATTGTTGTGAAAGTTTGTTTCCTGAGAAGTTTCCACCCTGAGGACACGCAACTCTGGGAACTGAAAACTTGTCATTAAGGTTGTAGGAGAAAAAAAAAAAGCTGATTATCAGCCAAAAATATCACCATCACTGGCAGTTTGAGCAGAAAGTCTCTGTAGCTGCCTGCAAAAGTTCCATTTCAGTTGCGCCACAGTTGTGCCAGGGCGGTGATTTACATTGTGTAATCGCTCATTTGAGCTAATATCCTGAATCACTCCTCCTCACATGCTGCGACACGATGAGACCGTCTGTGATTAACTCATTGTTCTAAACTGTGTTTCAGATCTTCTACCCTGAAACCACAGACATATATGACAGGAAGAACATGCCGCGCTGCATCTACTGTATTCACGCACTCAGGTTTGTGTCTCTTGTGTGTTGTTTTAATGTGAGGCTGCAAGTTGTGTTTCTCTGCACCATGAAATACTGAAGTTGAACAGTGTATCTCAATTCAAGGGCCACAATTTTAAAAAAAAAATGCACTTCTGAAGGCTGCAAACAGACAGTCCAAGGCCGAGAAATGCAGCTTTCTCTCCCCCAGACCACGAAGGATCCACCCGTCGGATCCAACGCCCAACTTGTCCCAAGAATCGTTCCACGCCTGTCATGTTTTAATTTATTTTCCAAAAGAATATAGCAGACCGCCCAAACCCAGCAGACATTCAGGCAGTGAAATGAAGTAGTGGTTGAAAATTTAGCCAAAATAAAAATTGAATTCAGTTCAGAATCAACAGTTCCAGGTCTGACCTACATGTGATTTCAGCCCATTTGAAGCAAGACGTTGTGCCACAGTCCTGCCGTCAGCCCCGAGCTCAATGAATGATAAAACAAACACACAAAAAAGAATAAAAATAACATTTCTGGCTCATTTCTGTCAAAAAATGGTTTTAGTTGTGTCCTGATTGTTGGCACATTTCCCTCCGCCATTTTATTTGTTGTTTGTGTTCTTGTCTACCTTGTAAAGCATCTCTGAGTGTCTTGCAGAGCACTATTTAACTATTATATATTCTGAGTAATAAATGACAAAAGTGGCGCTTTGTGAAGTACAGGAACATCTAATTGTGTTGTTCCATCTCAAATCATCAGAGTCCTTCTGCTCGACCATCTTTAATGTGCTGGAAGCTTCTTTTTGTGTCATATACGATGGATATTGTGGAATTTTAGATTTAGGTATCAAGTATTCTTTTAAAGAATCGCCCATTCACCCTGACATTTATATTTGAGTCTGTTTCAATGACAATATCTCAGGAAATATTAAAGATAAAAGCCTGAAATTTTCGCTGTTATTTCTCATCATGACATTAACTCAGAGTCTGTAACACTGGACAAGTGGATCAAACCGTCTCTGATTATGGGCGAGCTGATGTGCAGCCAACCGGTGCTCTGAACATCAGGATGCAGTCTCTGGATTGAGACACATATTCAGTCAGACCACTGCTTAGATTCATCTTCTGCTGATTTGTTCAACAGGCTGTAAACCAATATAACAGAGGAATCAACAAGCTGTGTGTTTTAAATGTTTGTAACAGAAATTCCTCATTCACTGCATCGCGGTGCTCAAACAGCGCAGGTGCTCGTCCTGGAAACGCTGCACACTCCTCGTGGTCATTCAGGGTCTGAGCATGTTTCGGGTCTGTTGGCATTTTTACGAGGTGAACAGTGCAGTTTATCAGCAGAAAGGCATTCAGTGGTTTGAGGTATGGAGCAGTCAGGAAGCCAAGCAGCAGAACAGAGACGCCGTGTCTGTGTTTGTGTGCTTGTATTTACCCACGCACTGAAAAACACCGACTCCTGAATGCAGCCACAGATGTGTCTTCATTTCACTTTAAATTAAAAAACACTTTAAGCATCGTACACAGTTTGTCCAGCTGTCCAGCTGTTGTGAACAGTTCACCTCAGACAGCTTCGCAGCAGCCTTACAGCTCAGCTTTTAATATGACAGGGAATCAAAACAAAACATTTTTTATGCATTTTATTGGTTTCAAGGCAAAACATTAACCCTCTGAACCCCCAAACCCGCCAGCAGGTTTCTAAAAGGCACGTTTTCTGTTAATAAATCACCAAAATAACACTGTGTGTCAGTGCAAGAACGTGTGAGAATCATTGGATTTTTAACTTTCCTGTGGTTGTAATGAATGTTTTGTGTGTAGCGTGCAGGAGAAATGAACAGAAAGACGCTTACAGTTGTGACATTTTATCGACAACATTTGATTCATATCAGATCCTGTAAAAAGCAAAAACTTCTTTGCTCCTTTTTGCAAATAAAAGCCACGATTGAATCAACTGTGACCAATAAACACGTGACGCAAATCCAGAAAAATTGAGCTGCAGGCAGTGTTTGCACAGAGCAAAGACAGCAAGAGAGCAAAATAAAACAGACTGGATCGATAGAAGTAACGCAGCATGGCTCAGAAATGTTACACAGAGCAGCAAGTTGTTGGAGGACACACACAGCACGGTGAAATAACTTTGTCGATTTGCAGTGCAGAGCAATGAGAAAAACATGTAGACAGAAAAATATCTGTAGTATGCGGAGAACAACGTTTTTTTTCAACACCTGTAGAAAAATCTGCTTTTTCATTTTTATAAAACAAATTATCAAAGAAATTCAACCTACCTCTGTATGTTTTGTGGCATGCTAACTGTGTGACCCTGCATCAAAGACATTTCTGAGTTCTCTCTCCTTCTAGTCATGGTTGTTCTGTTTCTATAGAGATGCAGGACTTTTTATTGCCGTGAAAAATGAGCCCACAGTGAGGACAAAATGTGACAGGAGCAAAAAAATAAAGAAAAATAGGCCACAAGATGCCTGAGGTTCAGAGGGTTAAGCACAGTTTGACAATTAGCTTCTGAAATCTGCCATCAAGAGTCAGACTGGAGCAGAAAAACACTTTGCTACCTGTAATGTCATTAAAGTTCTACGATATAATAACATTCTTGAGTCTAACAATCACTTTACTCCTTTTAAAGCTGCTCAGTTTTCCTCACTGTGTCCCAATAACTGAACAACCACATGGCAGCAGCTTCACCAGTGACATCAGTGGCAGCATGACAGGAGTTGAAACATCTGTTTTCTTGCTTTAAAATGACCTGGTTGTATTCTGATATGCACCCGGTGCGACCTGTCAGCCTTTGAACCTCCTTAGATTTATCCTCTCAGCGCTGAGACGAGGTAACAGTATGTGCCGTACTGTTCCCGTCCTTGTCTGACATTCAGCCTGCGTCATGCTTCTATATTCATTTTCCCTTTGTCATCTTTTTTTTTTTACAGCCTCTACTTGTTCAAGCTGGGTTTGGCCCCTCAGATCCAAGACCTGTATGGAAAAGTAGATTTCACCGGTAAGAGCCTGAGAACACCAGCGTCTGTTATCCTCATTCCCTTCCTGCTAACCCAGTCAGGTCACCTTAAATGCAGAAAGTTACCAACGTCACCGCCAACACGAATTTTTAAAATGTGCTGAGCTTGTCTGCGCCCAGAAAGCAGCGAGCAAAGAGGCAGAATGCGGAGGAGCAGCTGGAAATGTGAAAGTCATTAAGTAACTGCGAGAGCTTTTCCTGTCGGTAAAAGTTCCCGCTCAGTCTCCGAAATCTGATTATCACACATGAGCCAGGAACAGTCTGTCTCCACGTCTCCCGCTTCCCCCCTGGTTTTTTTTTTTTCACTGCAATCCACCGATCTGTTCCTTCTGCTCTGTCTTCTCTCTCCCAGAGGAGGAGATCAACAACATGAAGAGCGAGCTGGAAAAGTATGGAATCCAGATGCCCGCCTTCAGCAAGATTGGCGGGATTTTGGCCAATGAGCTCTCAGTGGACGAAGCTGCATGTGAGAAAAGGCTCAGATGTCTTTGGGGAAGAGGGCAACTCTTACAGCCTCACATTCTACTGAATATTTTAGTTAAATACATGCTTTTAAGAGATACTTCAGTAATGAAATAGATGCAGTTCTCCTGGATCCCATAGAGGTCATTGCAAATTAGCATTTTATGGATATTTTTACCTCAGAAGCCCAATCTGAACTTTTTAAAGCACAATCTCATCTACTGAAGTCAGTTTACACAGTTCCAATTCAATATATCAAATCAACTAAAAGTCTGCAAAAAAAATAGCTCAAGTTATACAGAATTTGAATATTAATAACAAGACAGGACACATTTCCAAGTTTTGAAACCGTTTTTTATAGTTTGAAAGCTGCTAAAGTTGTTTTTTGTCGACAGCTTCACAATGATTTTCTCCAAATTTCCAGGAAAACGGTTCAACTTCTAAATTGACGTTAAACTTTAAAGTTCAAGGGAATAGATTTTATTCATGGAAACACAATTTATTAATAAAAATAACTAACTAATCGGCTTAAATAACTAACTAATCGGCTTTCACTGCAAATTTTATTCAGCAAATTCCAAAGAAAATGCAATCACATGAAAGATCAAATAAAAAGGTCAAATACTGATAATTCATCAATAAACTATGAAGTTATAGGGAAAAGATTTTATTCATAAGGACACATTTTGTGCATGAAAATAACTGCCTTTCAGTGCAAATTTACATCCTGCAAATGTAGTCACATGAAAGTTCAAATATGAAGATAAAATACTGATAATTTGCCAATAAACATGAATAGATTTAATCCACGGAAACAGATTTTAGTCATGAAAATATGCAAATTCTGCAAAATAATAAGAAATACTGATAGATTGTACTATTGTTATTTGCTTTCTTGCAAAATGATGTAACACTGCTCCTGTCTGCCAGGAGACGGTTTATTAGCTTAGCATGAAGAAAGAAGGAAATCGTTAGCCTCAGCGCCGTTCAAAGGTTAAAAAAATCAACCTACCATCAACCATAAAACTCACTCATCAACTCCTTATCTCACGTTTGTTTATTCTGTGTAAAAATGAAGTCAAGAGGTCATTGTGTGACCAAAATATAAACTACTATTACACTTTGGATTTTGAAAGAGGACAAACACAATCTGATCTGGTTGGAACATTATTTTTAACCCACTCACCCACTTTTATTCTAGATTAAAAGTTAAACGTTTTAATTTTCAGTTTTGACAAGATCAATATTGTTCTCCACAATGCCAAACTGTTCCTTTAAGGTCAATTACTACATATTTATCTTGAACTATTAATAAGATAAAACACAGAGAAGAAAGCCGTCGTGAATCCTGCTCTTCATTCATCGTCTCCTCCGTCCTCAGTACACGCCGCTGTGATCGCCATCAACGAGGCCATCGACCACGGGGTACCGGAGGGAACGGTGGCCGCTATGCAGAACCCCAACGCCATGCTGGTGAACCTGGACCCCAGCTCGGCCCAGCAGTACCACGACACGCTGTACCAGGCCAAAGGGGAGAAGGTGGCCAACTCACGCAAGAGGGTAAGAAATCTGAAGACGTTTAGCATGCAGCATGTCACATCTGAGAGAACGTAAAATTCTCATATAATTAAAAATACGAGATGTTAGTTTTTTGATCAGAAAATAATTGAACATGCAGCCTGAAGCCGAAGAAAGTTTTGGGGGCAAAATGTTGAATCCGCACAAACCGGGAAGGCAGCAAAAGTTAAAGACAGATGACTGACAGAGTGAAATAAAGTCACTTCATCTCTCTTGACAGGGCTGCCAGAAACTTTCTTGCAGAGATGATTGAATGTCAGATACATGATGAATTATGGTTGAAAACATACATTTTGCTGACAGAATAAATGACCCAAACTACTCCAAGAATTGAGGATAAAAGAGGAAAATTAATATTTGAAAAGATGTATATTTTTCTTTGGTGTCCATTGGGAGGAATCTGACGACATTTAGTGTTAATGAACATCCCTGTTTGGTTTTTCTGCTCCAACAGCAAATGGAGAACGCCGACGCAGAGAGAGACATCTACGACGAGCTTCTCACGCAGGCTGAAATCCAGGGAAACGTCAACAAGGTCAACGGTAAGAGACACATCTATTCACTGATGAATTCCATGAATGTGTCTTGAGTTTCTGTGGCACACCCGTGAAACATGCACGTCTCCCCAAACAGTGAGCAAAGCCCTGAGCGCGGCCGAGCAGGCGCTGCTGAGCGGCGATGAGGACAAGCTGTACGAGGCGCTGAAGGCGATGGGCATCCAGAACCTGCAGCCCCAGAACAAGGGCTGGTACCTGAAACAGCTGCAGGGCGACCGGGAGAATAAAGAGCAGGTAGGGTCAGGTGGTGCATGCAAATGTGATTGTATATTTAAATGACATTGTTCTGACATCGCTGGGTGAACATTACACACTAACCCGTTCTACATATTGTGATTAAAGAAGACGCCTGACTCTGTTTTAGAGGCAGTAAAAGTCCAGCCTGTGATGAGAGACTTTGGCAAATCAAATGTCGTTTGACTCAAAGCAGACAAAATATAAAGAGCAACAAATTCGATGGTAGAATTAGGACGTGGAGACGTAAACAGAGAACTTTCACTCAGCAAAGGTTGGTTGGAATCCCGTGTGAAGCCTCGAGTTAATGTTGACTATTAGCTCTGGAGCTTCTGGAGTCTAAAAACCGAGAGGGAAGAGCTGCAGGAGATGCTCTGTATTTTTAAACTCTGGTGGTTTTCTATTAGCAGCAGCTTTCATTGAATATTTATAAGTTTTATGACTTTGGCTGCACAAAACTATTTGAAGATCTTATTCAGGAATCTGGGAGTTTTTTTTTAATTTTATGACATATCAGCCAAATCGGACATCAACGTTGGTTGCATCCCTACAATGACTCATGTTTAAAATGTGTTGAGAAACCTGCAACAACTCTGCTGATTTCCTCCTTTTAGACGTCTCCAGGTGAAGCGCTGTCCAAGGACGAGCTGCAGAACGGCGTCGACGTGGCCAATGAGATCGCACAAGGCTACCTGAAGAGTAAGTGCGTCGATTTTAACTCATTCTGTCGCACAATCTGATCACGTCTCGTTAAAACACCGCTGCTTTTCTGCCTCTGTGCAGTGTTGAAGGCGGTGGAGCGCATCAACGCCGCCATCAGAGCGGGTGTGCCGGAGAAGACTGTGGAGGAGCTCATGAACCCCGACGCTCAGCTGCCTGAAGTCTATCCCAACGCTGCAGATCTGTACCAGAGAGAGCTGTCCAGCCTGCAGCAGCAGAGCCAAGAGGTACCGAGAACACACACCCAAAATACAGTGTGAAGAACCCACACCTGCACCGTTCCCAGCACGAAAGCATGTGGTAGCGTGGCCTCTGAGGCTAAATTACAGGACCGGTTGACCTGAAAATGAAAACTCTTTACTGTTTGTCTTCATATGTTGGAACCACACGAATGTTTCTGCGGTTTATGTTATCACAGGTGTGCTGCTGTAACCCAGGTCTCTGTTGATATCAGAGTTTATCTTACGTTGAACTGATAAGACTCTGGGACACAGCACCGCTTCGGCTGATTTTACATAACATGAAATACATGATCGTTTGACTGAGCAACAGTTTTGACTTTTTCTTTCTCTTTTCAGTAGATACTTCAGCTGCCTTCACAAAGTACTTACCCCTTCATGCAGTGTGCATACAGTTGAGACACACTACTTAGTCATGATATTGCAGCCTAAATTGTGACTGTCTTGCTCAGATATCGATCACTGTCTGAAGTTTGAAATGAGTCTTCTGTCTATGGTTTTTTATTCAAGTCTTTATTACAAGCTGCCAACATACAGTGCACAAGAGAGGCATCAGAAGTATTTGTACAGATGCGTTAACAAGCTGTTGAAAAGAAAAGACAACAGATTCAAATAAATGAGTTCAACAGAATCAAAGATTAAGATGTGAGAACATGACAACAAATTGACTTAAAAACTTTAAAGCTGTTGAATACGGTCATTGTTTTGATAGCTTTTGTGTAATGTGGGAATATGGTCGATATATTTTCCTTCTAAAATGCAATGAATTCATGTTTTTTTGTTCCTCGTTTGTGAAGTGAAATTTGGCGAGAAGTAAAATTAGATTAAAATCTGAGAAAAACATCTGACTACAGACCATGTGGATAAGTTTTAGAGAGCAACTTTTTGAAGAAATTCTTCAAGATACAATCAGTGAATCAGCTTAAATGAAGCTTCTTGTACCTGATTTGTTGTGGACCAAACTTTCCTCCAATCAATGGGCAGCAAAAGCTTGTTTATAGTCACACCATAATGTATGTGGTGCATCTTCCGCTGTGCAGAGGATTGTGGGTCAGAATAGACGGAAAAGCGTGCAAACTGCAAAATGCATCCAGATGCAGCAGGACGACTTCTAATTATGGAACACTGCATTCGACATAGTATGTACTGGGACGTAATAAATCTTTTACTGGCATCCTATAGAGCATGCTAGCTTAGTATCAGAGCACATCCTTAGTCCTGGTCAATTCTTTTTAGGTTAATTATAATGCAAAAATTGTATTTATTTGTGAATATTTAGCTTTTTCTTAGCATGGGCCACTTTTTCTTTGATTTATGTTGAGTTAAAGTTGGGGTAGGCAGTATTTGTTTGACATCACTGGGCCAAAAAATCCAAGTAACCTCTCAGCATATTGAACAAAGTAGTCTGAGAGGAAACTAGACTTCTAAATTAAGCCTGTGATGACATACTTTGGCTACTAACATTTATTTTTATCTAAAGCGGTTGAGAAAATAAAGCAACAAAATCAGAGAATGCTGATTTCAGCTTGACTGGTTTTGCACTTTTTCAGCCCGTTCTCGTCTGGTGGGGGGAGCTTAGGATAGAGAGGAAAGAGCTGCAGGAGTAAGAGCTGCAGAATGTCCAATTTCTGGTGGTTTTCCAGATGCAGCAGCTTCAGTTGATTGTCTGTAGTTTTCATTTTTATTTTTTAATTTGTGGTTGCACAAAACAAACAATTTGAAGATAATGTCATTGGATCTGACAACTTATCAACCCAGTAGTTGACTTTAAATTGGAGATAACGCTGGTTGCATCCCTACAGTCACATTTCTGAACTACTTGGAAGGCAGCTACAGTAGTTTTAGCACACAAACATCAACGCACTGGCTTATTTTAATGTTCTGCCCCTGGTCGCCCTCACTGGCAGTCTGATATTTGCACTAAATGTACGGCGTCTGTCCTGCAGGGATCCCTGTCCCACCCGGAGCTGCTGGTTGCCGTGGAGATGCTGTCGGCGGTGGTGCTGATGAACGAGGCAATGGATGTCGGAGACCGAGCGGCTCTGTGGAAGCAACTGTCCAGCAACGTGACTGGACTGAGCAACGTGGAGGACGAGTACGCCCAGAGGTGAGTGCCCAGCCGGAGTCACTTTGATTTATGGATGTTTTCGTGTGTTTTCTGCTTGAACCGAGGCAGCTTGTTAACATGGTCACTGTATATGTACGTTATCAGATATATGGACGAGCTGATGCGTCTGAAAGCTGCAGCCAGAGAGGAAGGATGCGACTACCTGACCTGGAACGACATCCAGGCCTCCATCGACCAAGTCAACCTGGCTGTGCAGGAGGAGCACGAACGTAAGAGACAAAAACAGCCAAATACTTCAAATACTCAGTGGAACGTCCTGACAGAACACAAGAAGAGTTAAAATTCTGTCAGTAGGCCCTCAAATCCCCTTGTTTTCCATTTCTTTAACAAACTCCCAGTCCTGACGAAGTGTGTGTGAGTGTAAATATAGAACTTTTCTCTGAGTGCCAACTTCTTTTTGCACATGTTCCTGATGTGGATGGATTATACGCGGCCACCTGAAGAAAATGAGCTGCACCCAATGTTTCCTTAGTTTTTTTGTGACAGCTTCAAGTGTTAAAACATCCCTGAACTTTTCAGAGAGGTGCTGTTGTGCAGTCATATTTATCCTACAATGACAGTTAAAGTGCTTCTAAAATGTCAAGATACTGTCATAGATGCAACATGTCTTGATTTTTTATGCCACAGAAAAACACCAGATGACCTTAATTTGTGTAATTTTGTATTATAAGTTTTATCCAGTTTTCTTAGTGTTGTTCTATCATTGTGCAAAAGTTTTATTGTGACCTCCAGGATGACTGCAGATGAAAATTAGCCTTAAAGCTAACTCTGGTACATTTCATCAAATGCTAACGTATTTAATGTTGCACATGGGCCCTTACAAATAAGATAAATCAACAAGCAGTTGGTTCAATGTAATATGCACACATGAGCTCTAAACTACAAATTCATCCAATTAGAAAACAATTTACTCAGTAGTCAGACTGCTAAAAAAAAAAAATGTTGACAGCTAAGCTAATAGGCTAATAGGTGTTGTGATGCCCAGATTTTTACAAAAAACACCTCAACATAATTCGATTTTTAAGTATTTTACAATAAATATTCCATCAATAGTAGGTTAAACTTACATAAAATGTAACGATGCAGTAGGATGTAAGTTTAATTTGTATTCTAAGCTCTGTGACCCACAAAATTAATGTTGAACAAATTCAGAAGTACAACAGAAAACAATTTTTCCCGCTTTTTTGAGTCTCGTTTCATCTTTAAATATCTGATGATGCTACGTCCTTTCTTTGCTGTCTTCATGCCCGTCCTCTCACATTATCTTCTCGATCTAAAGTCTTGCATGGTGTTATTAAGTCTATTTGTGCGTCCGCTTGTGTGTTTTTTAGGAATTGCCGCCATCGGACTGATCAATGAGGCCCTTGATGAAGGGGATCCCATGAAGACGCTGGCGATGCTGCAGAACGCCTCGGCCAAGCTCACAGACGTGGATCCGTCGGTGGCTCAGCACTACCACGACAAACTGCTGGAGGCCCGCAGAGAAAAGGCTCACGTAAGACAACCTTCTGTGTGAAACTGAGCGCAGAAAATAAACGTTCAGGTTGTCGGCTGCAGATAAACTTGACCTCGTCGCGCTCCCTTTAACATTTGCTTTTCCGTGTGTATCTAGTATTCTGATGAGCATTATGCAAACAGCTCATGCAAATAGAGCCGGGCTACAGTTACATTTAGTCATCTGTCAGCGTGTTCTTCGCTGCAGCTGAATGTTGTCAGAGCTGCGTTTGACTGGACATGTGATACGTACAGATGCGTTTTCAGGAATTCTGATGAACGTTCTCAGAGTTTAGCTAGTATAAACAAGCTGTGAGGGGCCAGAAATATGCAGCTGAGCTCAGTGCAGACGGTAAACAGCTGGATAAGATCTTGGATTTCTCTTCCAAAATACTGCCCAGAAGGGTATCAAGGCAGATGATTTTGATAGTTCATACATCCTTAGAGTATTAATTCATGTCCTCAAATTTCGATTCAAGACAGGTTTTTCTATACACTCGTCAATTTTGAGATTTTGGGTCTATAACATCTCTTCTTTTGAACAATTGTAAAGAAAACATGCAAAATGCACATTTTATTTTATGTCACGCATTACAGTGCATATATTTAAAGGCTGTTTTCTCAAAGTTTGTGTTTTTTCTCACACTCTGAGCCAGAAATCTCCACTTCATTAGCATTTACACACACCAGACTTTCCTGTTTTATTCCTATTCATCTTATTACTGAAGGTTTTTCCAGATGGTTTGTTTACATAATACTTTATATTTAAATATAAGATAAATATTTGTTTTTTTTATGGAGTGATAAAAAGAGATTTCCTCAACATTTGACTCTGTGTCAACAAAATGACACAAGAACTGTGAGGCTCATTTTATCTAGTGTTCAGTTTTGTCTTCTGGAAATTACTAAATATTTAGGTCGATAATGATCCAATTGTCGATTTCAAGATAGAATTTTGCAAAACTCTTAGTACAAAACCGATTGTATTATTGTAAGTAATCAACTAGGGAAGTTTTTATGGTGACATTTAGGTGAATTTTCACACTATTCATCTGTCGTGTCTTGCCTTGACCAGTTTGTAGTATTTTTAAACTACTAATAATGCGAGAAGAAAACGATTCATGGCGAATTAAGCACAAAGCCGGTCACACACTACTGTATGTGAGGGACCCAGTTTCCCTTCATTCCTTCCAGAGTTCTGATGTCTCCATCGTGGTGCATTGCGGGACGTTTAGAAGCTGGAGTTTATGTACTTGACTGGCCGTAACACACTCGTGCTGCTCAGATTAGTTCAGTGAATGTGAGGTTTTAGCTCAAAGGGATCTGAGGAGCGTCGGAGCTGCAGATGGCTTCATGTGACTCAGGCCTCCGAGCGCCACATGACTCGAGCAGACGCTGATGTCATGGTGTGATCATCGTCTTTTTCCCTCGCTCACTTCCTGTCACACATCTGCACAGGTCATGTATGTTTTTCAGTGCTTTCAAAACTCTGTTCTGTTGTTTTTGGATCCTCACTCATGAGCCCAGAACGGACAGAAGCAGCAGCTCTCTCCCTGCTCTCTGTGACTCATTTGCTTGTGTTATCGCCATTTGAGGGACGTGAGCTGATGAATGTGGTTCTTGTGTGCGTTTCTGAGGCACATTTGCATATGATGCAACAGGCTGAGCACCTTATTTGGGGTTTTCCTGTTGAAGGCAGACATTACAGTGCAGGTCAGAGTGCAGGAGCTGATTAGAGCTGCACCGAGCAGCAGAGGAGGTGAAAAACCCACCAGGCATATCGGGGAACTTTTTATTACTCAAAAGTGTCAGAAGGTGGTTTTTCCACAAGGCAGGTGTTAGGTGGGCACACATGTTTACAGAAATGACCCGAGTAAACAGCCCTTTCAACCTTTGTGTTTCCCCTGTGGTGCAGGATTCAAAGGCTTAGTGCAGGGCGTGAATTAAGAGGACAACAAAACAACAATAAATAGTCATTACTGGACGCAACTCCTGTTCTATGAGAACATAGGAAATAGAACAATGGAGGTTTATTACTGTAGGCTGTGTGGTGAATTTGATGTTGTTATTGGTGATGTTACGGACTTAAAGGCTGCTATCAGGACATCTAGACGGCAGAAATATGGCACTTGTTGTCCTCAGTCAGTATCAAGACCCACCCAGCAGTTTTTCAGAGTTGCTCAAAAGTACCTAACTTGAGATGATACTTTGTTCTCCTCTGAAAACAACCTAGAAAGACGTTCTGTAGGGACAGTACTTGCAGTCGGGACATGCAAAAACACTCTAAAACGGTCCCTGCAGTTGAAAACTGCCTCAAGTTAAATGTTCCCTCCTACTTTCTTAAAGAGCCCCATTTGGTTTTTGCCCTTTCTTTCAGTGTTATACCGTGTTTGTGTATGTTTAAAGTCTTTAAACTTACAAAGAACAGACACACAGAACGCACTGATTCTTATCTGCCTGAAACACCCCGTTTGAAGTCCGGACTTCTCCTCTGTTACTTATCTATGTCATCATGCAACATATTTGCTCCTCAAGCCAACCATTATTTCCTATAAAAATGTTTTTTTGTTTTTTTTTATCAAATAAAGCATGTAAACGTATTCTAGTAGACTTCTAAATCCAATTTATATATTTTTAAATGTGCATAACATGGGCTCTTTAATGTTAAATATATAATATCTGACCTTGAACAGGTAGTTTGACATTTTTGAAACAGTTTAATTAGAAGACTGATGTCTGTCAACTATAAAGCCTAAGTAGGGGAACTCTTAGTTTACTATGTGGACTGCAAGAACAAGTAACAGGCATCATCAATAGGTCTAACAGAGCTGCAGCAATGTACAGTGGCAGAAAGATAAGTTTGTGGACCAGTATAGTATGTAAACATATAAAGATAAAACTACCAGCCTACTCATGTGCAGATCGTGGGCTCTTTAAAATGTATCCCAGTGGATCCCTTTTAGCACTGGGTCTGTTTTTGTCCTGTGTAAATACTGATTAAGGAAACTTCTTATCAAGTTCAGATTCCAAAATACTTGGCCGCTGCCCACGCTGCTTTAAATGTCAACATCATCAGTTACATCCAAAGTCTTGGATGAAATGTATCATCTGGGAAGTTGGGTTTTAAAACAGTCACCCAAAAAAATGAAAAAAAAAAATGGATTGGAAAAACAGCGAGCTATTTTCCTGCTGATTTCACAGGCGTAGGAAATAACAAGCCGGGCTCAGTCGCTTGCTTCCATAAAAGGGCAGAAAGCTGACCGCTGTGGGCACAAACACACCGTCCTCTGGTTGTCGGCTGGCGAATGTGGCTGATTGAGGTGATGAGCTGAAGATGGAGGAAGCAGTTAGAGGAGTGTGAGCTTCCTGCTGGGTTTCAAAGGGTCGACAGCGACGAGGTTTTCCCCCGACTTAGAGGGGGCCGCATCTCTGAGGAGGTGGCAGAGATGCAGGTGATGTGAGGTCAGGAGAGTTTGGACAAGAAGGAACAACAAAGCTTGTTTTCTTCGGCTTCTTGGCGTCGCCTCATTAGCTCTGCAGTATTAGAACGGTTAGTCAGAGCGACAGTCGAAGCAGAAGCTGGCTTTGACTGCGAGCTCAGGGCTGTGCCTAGATAAACAGCAGGAAGTCCTGCCCAGACTCCACTGACTAACAAGCTCAATATTGTCCCCCGTGTCTCCTCAGATGGTTATCGCTTCACTTTGTAGCTGCAACAATCACGACCGGGACTCTGTACATTTCAGTGCATGTATGTGTGAGAAATGATGTCATGGTTTCTGAGGAAGCAGACTAAAAAGTTCACACACAGGAGTTCTATATAAAAATGTATATACATCAATTAACTACCCAACTGCCTCGGCTTTCACTTCCTCTATTTCCATGATGAGCGACATGCAGCAGTCCTCCGCCAGCACGCTGCCCACTCCAGCACCACACCCTGTCTAGCGCCTCCCGCCAAAAGCAGTGACTCATCGCCTGCAAATACCAATTACAGCGGCAAATGCAAATATACAAACACTAATCAGCACTCGCCCAGGTAGGCCTTTGTTTACTATAAAGACGGGGCCCGCAGGACTCTCTGTGCATGCTGCTGCAGATGTGAGCTGCCGACACAAACCCCCCTTTCCTCTCAGAAAAACTAGTCAAGATCGGGTATCAGGCGAACCCGCCCACTTCTTTCACACACATATAGACGCACACCTCCTCTCGTTCACCCCGAAGCACAACACGAAGGGGCGGGACACACAATGGGGGAAGCCAGATGAGTGCTAGAAAGCAGCAGCAACAAGTAGAAACCAGCTGCAATACAGGGACAGAGTGCGCCATCTGGATGCAGCTTGGCACCACTGCAGCTCGTTACAACACACTGGAGCGCTGCTAAAGGTCTTAGTGTGGTTTGTTGGGGGAAGAAGTGGGATCAAGTGGCCAACAGACAATAAAAAAACACATTTTTTTGGTCTGTTTGTGGTTGAGTGTGTTTTGTCTGCAGCTACAGAGCAGTTAATTGACAAAAATGTGCCCCACAATTAAGAGCTTGTCAGAGATTAGTGATGTTAATACCAACAGCAGGAAATAGACGACTATACAAAGCGACAATAAGAGATGTTGTAATGCGAATACAGGGTGTGGTCGTGATTCAACAGAAGATACGTTTAACCCACGGCTGAATGAGTTCATCTACATGGTGTCCGATAAAGTCTGATGTCTTCTCCTTTTACAGTCATAGCAACACACAAAGACGGATACAAAACAAACTGCATTTCATTTTTTGTTTCATAAAATATGAGTCAGCCAGTCCTGTTTGTCGACACCAACATAATGTCCTTTTTTTGAATGTAATTTTAAAATGCCAAATCTCAGTTTGGTGTGGAGATCTTTTCATTTTAGGCAGATGCAATCTCATTTTCAGCACATGACAGAATCTGAATTTCAACAAAATCCTGATATCGAGATTGTCTTTTAGCATCTATGCTTCATCTCACCCTGATTTTTGCAGACGTAGGTGCATTTACTCTAAGAACTGTATGTCTGTTAGGATTTTCTTCTCTCTTTATGCTTTATTTGATAGGGACGAATCACCCCTTAGAGAGCTTTTCTGAAACTATGAGGTTGAGACAATAAGATCAAAAGAAGATAGTCTGAGTTCTAAAAGTTGCCATGAAGCTTTATTTAACTGAGTGCAGCAGGATGCATGAACGCACATGTTTAGAGCATTTAAAAGAGTAAACATGAGTAGAAGTTTGTTGCTTAGTAGCTTTCTTAGTAGTGGTGAAATTAGCCACTTCAATAGAAGCAGCTTGAGTGGATCTAGAGTTCTCTGATGTACATGTGTGCATGAACACTTGCTGAGCACTGTTGGTTAACATATTATCCTGTTTCCGTGCAGGAGACCCAGGATCCCTCTGCTGTACTGTGGCTGGATGAGATCCAAGGTGCCATCTTGAAGGCTAACCAGGACACACAGGAGGCCCTACAGTGTAAGAAAACACACATCTTCATGCCAGACTTTGCTTGGTCAGGTGTATGGACTTGTTGGGAAGGTCAAAAATGGACCGATGGGTGATATTTGTGTTTGCTTCTGTAGTCTCACAGTCCATCCAGGCTATAAATGAGGCGGTGGACACCGGAGATGCAGCTCAGACTCTGGCTGCTCTACGTAATCCTGGAGCTGGACTTTATGGTGTTACCTCAGAGTGTGGTCAGACCTACCAGGACGACCTGGCCAGGATTAAAGACGAGAAGAAGAAGGAAGGTGAGCAGAAGATTTAAGATAAACCCCATTTCTGTTCTACCTTTTTTGCTTTGGACAACAACACTTTTAAACTAACAAATTCTTAGCTATGCTGAACAACTGCATTAAACTCCTAAATGAAATGTAATGTCGCTGCACACCTCTGTGTGTTCCATGATTGAGAGATTTAAGGAGAACATTTAGAGCTTGATATTGTCATATCTTGTTTTGTGATTCTACATAATTGCATTTTACAGAGGACTAGGACTGCAACAGATGATTAATTTCACTATCAGTTAATCTGTCAGATATTTTCTGGATTCATTGCTTAGTCGTTTGGTTTGTAAAGTACCAGGAAATGGCGAAACTTCTCGGTTTGTATGTCCCGAAGCCCAGTATGAGATCCTCAAATCTTTTGTTTTGTCCAAAAATATTCTGTTTACTGTCATAGAGGCAGAAAGAAACCAGAAAATATTCAGATTTTAGAAGCTGGAATCAGATAATTTAGACTTTTAATCAGGCATCTGATATCAAAACGCTTGTTAACAAGAATTATCCAAAAGCAGCACTGTCTTAAGATGAAACGTCAACTGTCAAACTATGAAGGGCTTCAAAGGTGCAAAAACTTTTGTACATAAACATATAGTTAATATAGCTGCAAACAACTACCTGCTATATAAAGATATAGTGGGGTAGTGGGGTTTTTTTTAGCAGAGAATAAACTCACACTTTCTCTGTGTGTGTTGAAATTTCTGTCTTGGCAGCTGAATGTGCATGACAGTGCATGTGAATCCCTCCCTTTGAAGCTGTTGGCCTTCCTGCTGCTTATTAACAGACTGACATCGCAGAAGTGTAAAGCAAACACGATACCATAACCGGAAGTGAAACTAAACCGATAACATCTTTACTTACATGTAGAATGCGTGCACACTGTAAAGAAAGAGGACACACTCCCCAAACTGTACAAAAACATGCATTACATTTTGTTTTGGTGTAAGATGTTAGTGCCTGACGAGATCCAGCAGTTCTGAAAAGGTCACACACAGAATCTTTGACTACGCTCTTTCATCACTGACGCTGCTACTTCCTCTGTCAAGCTGTACTGTCATCATTCTTACATGCTCTGTGTCGTGCCCTCTGTGCAGGTGAAAATGGCAGCGACTGGGTGAAGCACTGGGTGAAGGGAGGACACAACTACTACTACAACCTGCAGACCAAGGAGGGCACCTGGGTGGAGCCGGAGGGCTTCCTGCAGAACAACGTGCATCTCAACAAGGAGGACATCCAGGTGGGGTTCTGTCTCCCACAGAAACACTGCAGGCTCATGGATTTTTAACCGCGCCACATTAAACCGGTTGTTTTATTCTCCCTGTCAGGGGGTGGTTTCTGGGGTAACCACAGCCTACAATCGAGAGCAGCTGTGGCTGGCCAACGAGACTCTGATTACCAAGCTCCAAGCTCGTTGCCGTGGCTACCTGGTGAGGAAGGGCCTGAAGGAGCGCATGGGCTTCCTGAAATCCCAAGACCCAGCTGTTACATGCATACAGGTGAGATAGTCATGTTTACACCTGTAATCTTGGCTGTACACATAAATGGAAACATGCGTCTGGTGATGATGATAATTTTGAGTCTCACTGATTTGATATTTTTTTCCTCAGGCCCACTGGAAAGGCTACAAACAGAGGAAGAAGTTCAAGGACCGTAAGCAGTATCTGAAGAACCACAATGATGAGGCTGTCAAGGTAGAACCATTATTATGATGCAGTTCCTGTATTATCAATCATAAAAACACAGTTGAGACTAACGCCTTGTCTTTCTCAGATCCAGTCGATGGTTCGGATGCATCAAGCTCGTAAGAAGTACAAAGATCGTCTCAAATACTTCAAGGATCATGTGAGTTTTTGTGGCCTAAAACCCTGACAGATAAGATTAGCTGTAAATTGAATTTAAAGTCAAACAAGAGGAGACATTGGGTGCAATTTTCTGTCACAAAATATTGTGTTTAAGGTAAACAAATGGTTTGTTACTTAATGAAAGCTTTAAATCATGATGCCTTGACAAGAATTTGGCCCCAACACGTCTGCTGACATTTACTTCGGCTCCTGTGGGGTTAGAAAGAGGCTCATTTAACACTTTGACTTATGTGAAGTCCTTTCCTCTCTGACTCACTGTGGATTCCTGTGGTGCTGCTTGTAATGAGGACTATTGATCAGACAAGTGATTGCTGTTTCTGTGCTGCAGATCAATGATGTGGTGAAGATTCAGGCTTTCATTAGAGCCAACAAGGCCAGGGATGACTACAAGACGCTGAGTAAGTACCACCTGATGACCATCAATCAAACCTTCTGTCTGGTTTTATTGGTTGCGTGACGTTTCTCCGATCTCTTCACAGTCAATGCTAATGATCCTCCGATGGCGGTGGTGAGGAAGTTCGTCCACCTGCTGGACCACAGCGACCAGGACTTCCAGGAGGAGCTGGAGCTGATGCGGCTCCGCGAGGAGGTCGTCACCAACATCCGCTCCAACCAGCAGCTGGAGAACGACCTGAACCTGATGGACATCAAGATCGGCCTGCTGGTGAAGAACAAGATCACCCTGCAGGAGGTGGTGTCCCACAGCAAGAAGCTGACCAAGAAGAACAAGACCCAGCTGTCTGACATGATGATGATGAACAAGCAGAGGGGAGGCCTGAAGGCTCTCAGCAAGGAGAAGAGGCTCAAACTGGAAGCCTACCAGTACCTGTTTTACCTGTTACAGGTAACAACCCAGTACATCACAGTTCTTTTACTGTTTTGTCTTTGCGTTTGGGAAAAACGAATCATATTTCCCTGCAGAAAGCACATTGCCAAAAAGCCCTTTATCTATAGTTCATTTGATTGCACTTGGTAACCCTGGTTAAATAAAGGTTAAATGAAGTTTTAAAAAAATTAAAAAAAAGTGGGACTAAGAATCTGTGAAGTGTGCCTAAACCTTTTCATTGGTCACACCAGTGCCCTTGATAGTTAGCAGGTCTATCTGCGTGTCTCTGATATGCCCAACTGTTTCAACTGAGGTACATCTGCCATTAGAACACCTGATTTTGCATTTTTAAACTAGTTTTTGGTTGCTGAGCTGCATTAACTGAGTGGAGACTTGAGGCTTCTCTGTACACTGCTGCCTATTAGGGTGAACCGATGCATGTGAGCCATTTAAGGGACGTCACTAAATTCTAACATCTACTGACAGTCTGCATGTGATGCATTTAAGGGGCATCTGTAAATTGTAGCTTGTGAACACAACCTGAGTGACGCTGTCCTCCTCTAAACCTCATAAGTTTTTGCATGCACATCAGCTACACCTGTTGGAAACACTGACGTTGTGTTTTGCATGTAGAGTTATGTGGTTTTGCATAGAGTCTGGCTGTGAATAGAGCTTTTGACAACTGAAATGTCAGAAAAGTACAGTGTCAAATTCAAACCAAAGCAGTGAGAAGTCAGAAATTATTATAAAATTTACGACTGCTTTTAATATCGCCAAAGAAAAACTACCTTTTATCAAGTTTAAGTCCCAGATCATCCTGATGAGAGCATTTATCTGCACCTTTTATTCTTGTAAACAATCAATTACGTGTTAATATAATTCTGTAAATTACCAATATGGACAGGAGTTGACAAAAAAGATCATGCTGATAATGTGTTATGTGGTGCCAAATATTTGTGGGCACCTGACTGACAAAGTTAGATGCACCAGTGCAACCAATGTTAAAATTTCGTGTGGAGCCCTGATGCTACACCCCACTGATGAACACTAAACTAACTACGCTACATTTCTTTCTGCTCTTAGACAAACCCCACGTATCTCGCCAAGCTGATCTTCCAGATGCCCCAGAATAAGTCGACAAAGTTCATGGACTCTGTGATCTTCACCCTGTACAACTACGCCTCCAACCAGAGGGAGGAGTACCTGCTACTCAAGCTCTTCAAGACGGCCCTGCAGGAGGAGATCAAGTGAGAATCTCTGAAACACGAACAGCATAATAACTCACAACCACAGTAATAAATCGGAGGAGGCCTAAATGCTGCCTGTACCAACTGTCTGCAGGTCGAAAGTGGACCAGATGAAGGAGATCGTCACAGGAAACCCGACGGTAATCAAGATGGTGGTGAGTTTCCACAGAGGCGCTCGGGGACAGAACGCCCTGCGGCAGATCCTGGCGCCGGTCGTCAAGGAGATCATGGACGACAAAACGCTAAACATCAAGACGGACCCGGTGGACATCTACAAGAGCTGGGTGAACCAGATGGAGACGCAGACCGGAGAGGCCAGGTGAGCTGGACGTCAGGTGGTCTTCTGGTACCTGAGTCATGACGTCAGATGACAGTGTCCTCTAACAAATCTGGTTTTACTTTAGATTAAACACACTGAAACAGTAATTTAAGAAAGACACCGTAACTGGTTGTAGGAGGATTTAACTTTCATCATCGACCACCATTTTCATTAAGTTGAAGTTTTAGAGTAACTGTTTTGGATTTTTCATTGTTAGATGCTTAATCTGCTTCAGCTAAAACTGTCAAGAACTGCGTTTGAGAAGTGGATTTGACTGGTTCAGTGCTCATTGATTAACAGAGAAACTAACTATAGATGGATAGATACATGGATATATACTTTATTCATCCCATATTTTACAATGATAAAAATAAAAAGAGTATTAGAAAATCTGATTACAATGTAGAACTAACAAAGCATATAAAAAAGCAATTAGCTGAACAGGCTGGAAAAGTAGTTGTCACTCTTGTAGTATAATCACCATTTATTATTCAAGACAAATGTTATGATCTTATTTATATTGATTTAAGATCAAGAACATTATTTACAAATTAAGGTAAACCTGAAAAAATATAAAACATGTTTTCACTAATGTGGGCTGCCGAGGTAAAAGAAGCCTCCCAGTTCAGCAACACAGTTTTATTTGTCTGCTACTGCTGATCCAAATTACGTAACATTTTTCAGCAGTAGCAGCAGTTTAGCAGTGATTACAGTGCGGCTACAGTTCTGAACACTTGCGAACAAAAAGTCATTTCATGACTAACGCCGGTGGTCTCCTCCTCTGCCAACAGCAAGCTGCCTTACGACGTGACTCCAGAGCAGGCGATGGCTCACGAGGAGGTGAGGACGAGACTGGAGGCCTCCATCAAGAACATGAAGACCATCACCGACAAATTCCTGTCCGCTATAATCGTCAACGTGGATAAGATCCCGTACGTTCCTCGCGTTGTCTGCATGGATAACATTTTTTCTTTAAAAACAGGAGTCAGCTGGAGTTTTTCCTTCCAGTCTAACCTCTCTGTGGGTTTTATCTGTCAGATACGGGATGAGGTTCATCTCCAAGGTGCTGAAGGACACGCTTCACGAGAAGTTCCCAGATTCTACAGAGGATGAGCTGCTCAAGGTTTGCATCTTTAATCTGTAGCTTAATCATTCTGTCTTCCTTTGTACTTAATATGTCAGTTCACATGAATCACAAAGAATACCATCTAACAGTCGGATCAGTCGTTCAGATTATTTAAATTTAATTCGGACATCTGCAAGAATGTGGAGACTTACACCACAAATTTATTACAATTGAGATGAATAGCTTAACGCTGGAGTGAAACTACAAACTTTTTGGATTGATTTAATCCTGTTTCACGCATCCCAACAATCTGACTTTACTATTTATTTTTATGTAGTTTTCATTGCCTTCCCCATTATCAAAGCTTGTAGTGTGAGAATTTCTGAGATTAGAGAGAAGAATATCTATTTAGTTTCTCCTCCTGTGCAAGCCGATTTTTAAAACTCCCGTAGTCTTACCTCAGCATAAAACATTACTTTTGGATTCAAATTGCAACGAGTCTTTAGAAAACCAGTGCATATACCACCGATTTTGAGTGCAGAGCTTGCATTGACATCACACGTCACCTCACAGCTTCTTCTTCCTTCTTCTGGTTCTGCCTTTCCTGCTGGTTACACATTTCTGTCCTGTTTTTGTCTTTCTTTCTGCTGCTGCTCTTCTTTTTCCACCTTTCGCCAACCAGCTGCAGCATCTCTTTCCGAATCACGGCCGTCCTCCTTCTCTCTGTCTGCTGACATTAAGGTGAGCCTCGCCTCTCTTCTGGCTCTCCTGTTGCTGCTCGAGCTGTTTTCTGACACTTTGAAGAGCTTTTCCTCATCTTGTGAAAGCACTTAACTCCTCATTTCACTCATGATTAATCTAAACGGTCCTAAGTGAAAGAAAAATGCTACAAATATGATGTGATTTAGGCCATTTTTACAGCAAATAGTTCCTAAAAATGGAAATGATCATAGATTAATGCCTGCTTCTTACACCGTAACATTAACACGTTTATATGGACGGGGAGTTTTTAAATGCTAATGTTTCTTCTGCTCATAGTTTTTACTCTAATAAAGGCTTATAAATGAATCATTAATATTTCAAGTCAGTAAGAATGATTTGATTTGGACTCTTCAGATCGTGGGGAACCTTTTGTATTACCGCTACATGAACCCGGCCATCGTGGCTCCCGACGCCTTCGACATTATCGAGGTGTCCGCCGGTGGTCAGCTGACCACCGAGCAGCGACGAAACCTGGGCTCCGTCGCCAAGATGCTGCAGCACGCCGCCTCCAACAAGATGTTCCTGGGAGACAACGCCCACCTCAACCCCATCAATGAATATCTCAGCAACTCCTACCAGAAGTTCAGGTGGGATGTGCTGATCAATACAAAGCAGGGATCTAAAAGTTTGTGGTTTAAGGCTCTTTTAACTTGATCCGTCCATTTTCCCTCACAGGCGCTTCTTCCTGTCAGCGTGTGACATTCACTCACTTGAAGATAAGTTCAACGTGGATCAGTACTCTGACCTGGTCACTGTCACCAAACCCGTCATCTACATCTCCATCGGAGAGATCATCAACACTCATACGGTGAGTTTAGCTGCTACAAATGCACTCCTGTCTGTCGGTAAATTGTGCATGCTCTGATATTTTTTAGAGGTTTTATCACCTCCAGTTTGAATAACGGTGCTTTGGTGTTCCTGTCCCGTTAGCTGCTGCTGGACCACCAGGATGCCATCGCTCCAGAGCACAATGACCCCATCCATGAGCTGCTGGAGGACCTGGGAGAAGTTCCCACCGTCGAGTCCCTCATCGGTGAGTGGAATTGTTGTCGGTGTAGCTCCAGTCAAGCTAACGGTGACCTCAACATCAGGTTTATAAGAGGAAACTTGGTCATCTTATACTTAACAAGCAAGTTTCAAAAACATGTCTTCTTTTGAAAAAAATTACACCATTTATCAGAGGCAGAAACTATTAAAAGACAAAGAATTTTCAGTTTTATTCCCAGTCTCATTCAAAAATGTGCGTCAAATAAAAGATCTAAAAAGTTCAACTTTTCAACTTTAGCTGTTCCTTTTTTCTTATTATTATTTATGGCATTAAAGTTGTGTCAAGCTCTACAGTAGACATTTCTGAGGCCTCTCTCCTTCTAGTCATGGTTGTTCTGTTTCCATAGAGGTGCAGGACTTTAAATTAAAGTGAAAAATGAGCCCACAGTGAGGAAAAATCTAACCAAAAAATACCCAAAAAGTGCTTTGGTTTTCGAGTTAATCTCACTTGTACTGAGAGGCCTGTTAGCACTTGTGTGTACACTAATGCAGGATAATTAACAGAGAGAAATATGTCATTTGTACCTCTAGGATTCATTTGACCTTCTTTCACTAATACAGGAATGTAGCTGGTCTTACAAAAGCAGAATGTGTTGGTATTCAGTCCTTATCCCCAGCTCAGGCCAGCACAGAGAAGCCTGTCGGACTGCATGCAGATTATAAAATCTAAACCTCTCGCAGGCGATGTAGAGAGTATCGATATGAAGACAAAACTCATTTATGTCCACCTCAATTAAATATATAAGCATTGCTAACAAACAATGCTATTTTCTCCTGCTTATCTTTCTCGTATGCTACAAAGAATCCAAAGTTTCTGAATTGTTCTGGACGTAAAGACGTATACGGGGATCTCATGAGCACATAACGTATCCAAAGGGGCTGACTGTTGTTGTTTTCTAATGCTTTGTGTGTGTTCATGTTTAGTAAAGCACCTTGTAACTCCAGTTTTTAAAGGTGCCGTAGAGATAAGGCGTGTTATTATTGTTTTATTCATTCGTCTGGCTGCTCTCCGTCATACTCAGGTGAGAATCCTCTTCCCGCTGACGACCCCAACAAAGAGCTGATGGGGAAGACGGAGGTTTCACTGACGCTCACCAACAAATTCGACGTCCCCGGTGAGGCCAACGTCGAGATGGACGCCAAGACCCTCCTGCTCAAGTGAGTTCGGACTGCTCGGGTTCAGGCTTAACAAACTGGAGTGAAACGGTTGTTTTTAGGACTGGAGTCAAATCAAATCAAACTTTATTTATGTAGCACTTTTCATACATAGAGCAACGCAAAGTGCTTTACAGCATTGAAAACATTGTCAAAGAAAGAAAAAAAGACAAGAAAACCCGTCCCTCCCACCCTCCATGTATACACAAACACACACACACACACACACACTCTCACCACATGGCATGGCACTGAGGCTCGTGGAAAACGCTACCAATTGGGGCCGTCCACACCGGAGCCGGCACCCAAACCCCCCCGACCCCGACAGACAAGGGGACCCCCACACCGAGATGGGGAGCCAAAGTCAACCAAAGAAGAACTCAGTCGACAGAAAGCATCAGAAAACAGTTGATTGATTGCTCTGTTGCATGCTGGCTGGCCTTATTAGCCGAAATGAATTCTACATCAACACAAAGAGCCAGTATTTGCAGCACATTGAATCATTTGAACCTGTTTATTTATACTGTAATGATAACAGCTGACTCAGGGCAGAGCAGCTGCTCATATTAAAAATTAAAATAGAACTGTGTCGACTGGTGATTCCAGCACGGGAACTGCTGAGGAATACAACACAAACAAGTTAGCTGCTGTTTGAGATGATTTTCCATGTTGTTTGTTTAACTGTGATACACAAGCTGCTGTTTGCAAAGTTTACACTCCACCAAAGTGCAGCCACTCTGACGGCTTCTTTGACGTGGTGTCAGTTAGTTTGGAGCTTTATCAGAGTAAATGTTCAGTAAATGTTAAATAGATTAGACCCAGCAGTCTTCATTTGGTTGGACCAGTTCAAAGTTGTGAAAACGTGGGGGCATTCGCAGGTAATCTGTTCCTCCTGCTGCCCAAAATAGTAAATTAATCCTGGAAGACGAGTGATGTAGAGCTTTTCTGCTCTCCACCAGAGATCGTCCAACCAATGAGAATATTGTTGGATGAGAACACATCGACCATCCAGTCAACCAGCAGCGCAATCGGTTTAACAAATGTCTTCTCTGTTTCTTTTCAGCACCAAGAGGCTCATCGTGGACGTGATCCGGTTCCAGCCTGGAGAGACTCTGACGGAGATCCTGGACTCAACAGCGAGTCAAGAGCAGGTCAGAAACGAAGCGCAGCGCCCTGCAGATGTTGTCATCCTAAAAACAGGCCGTGTTTATGCGCTGAACATCAATAATGTGAAGCAGTAATTACTGTAAACAGAAGCTGGACAGCGTTTAGCCACGCTGCACTGCATGTTTAACAGGAGTGGAAAACTACTGGAGAGCATCCTGACATGAAACAGAAAACACCTTATAACTAATGATATCAGAGAATATTATTGCTTTGAGTTGCACTACACTCATGAATATTTGCAGTAAATTAATCAAATTAACACCAAATTAATTAGGAAAATATAGGAGCTGCAGCACTGCGTCAAGAAAAACACAATCAAAGGTAGAAAATAACGACTGTCCTGCTTCTTATTAATGGAAATTCTCGTATTGGTTGGATGTGTGAAAGGAATTCAAGGCTATTCCATTTTAAATATTAAAATTCTTAATTAATTCATGGTTAAAACACTGTTTTTTGACCTTGAGAGTCTCATCAGGGTACAGGCACAAAACTACATTATAAGAAAAAGTATTTATACGCAGAAGTCAAGGAATTTTGACAAAACTTTCCTTTTTTATGGTGACGTTGGGAAAAGGTGTTTTGTTTGTCTTGTGCTAAAGATTTTGCAAACAAAACTGTAGATGTTTTAGACTTAACATGAGCTGTTCCTGTACAATCGTTGCTGATCTGAGACGTGAATCTGTGGCCTTTCCAGGAAGAAGAGTACCAGCGAGCCATGCAGAGGAGAGCCATCCGAGACGCCAAGACTCCAGAGAAGATGAAGCAGGTCAAACCGGTGGTGGACGACAGCTTGACCCTGCAGGGCAAGAAGGACAAGATCAAGAGCAACCTGCAGCGGCTGGCAGAGCTGGGGAAGGTTCACCCCGAGAACCGCTACCAGGACCTCATCAACGACATCTCCAAGGTGAGTAAAAAAAAGCAAACTGACAAATAAAAGAAAGAACCTCCGTGTCGTTTTGTCTAAATGCGTCTTTGTGTTCGTTACAGGACATCAGAAATCAGAGGCGGTATCGGCAGCGCAGGAAAGCCGAGCTGGTGAAGCTGCAGCAGACCAACACAGCCCTGAACTCAAAGACCAAATTCTACAACGTGCAGATTGATTCTTACAATCAGTACATCAAGACGTGCATGGACAACCTGGCCAGCAAGGGCAAGTGAGTGACCCCGACTCTGGAAACAGACCACATTTCTCATTTGTAGCTCACTGCTGGGAGTCTTTGTGTCATCACAGAGCTGTGTGGCGTAGTGCTGCTAATTTCAGATTTTTATAAGATTTGATTCATCTTTTGGCTGTTTACATGCACTTTTGCACACTAAACAACCTGCATATGTTGTTAAACCACAGACAGAACCTGTGAGCAAAATTAAAATGCCATCTTTATGCTGCCAAGTCAAAACAGAAATCACATTTTAAACTCTCTTTCTTTTATTTTGAGAGGAAACGTTTCATTAGATATTAAACCACCTTTCAGAAACAACCCCACATAGAGAACAAATGTGCTCCGATCATATCACATCATTTGTCACTTCCTATTGCGGTTGTTTCCAACACATGATGGAATTGTGCCCAACTCTGAAATGCGAGGAAGTGGCTCACATTGGTTCTCAGGCTGGTTTTGATTTTGGACCTCTAATGAGGGACTCTTGAGTTTCTGCTGTTAAAAACAGCTGCTGCCTGTTTGGACTGAAAAACATCCTGAGGAGTCAGGATCTGAATCACCAGATTGGATTTCTGCTTTTTTTTTTCTACATGAGGTGTTTTTTAGTCAGAAGTTAAAAGACGGTTTCGCTTCAAGCTGATGATGTATTTCTCAAAAAGCTTCTGTACATAACGTTGAATCAACATAAAAAGCTGGTATTTGCAGCATATTGAATCATTTAAACTTATTTTATACTGAAATGATGTCAGATTTAGAGCCGACCAGCTGCATACATTTATGTGACTTGTAATAATAAAACTAAACCAGGCAGTGATTCCAGCACAAGAGCTACTGAGGAATATGTACTGTTCATAAACAACAAACTGTTGAAGTTTGTTAATTTAACTAGTTTGTAATTCTTCTTTGAATCCGTCCACCGTGTTTAGTGTTTCTTCTGGCAAATTCGTTCTTCTGTAAATGTTCCAATCTGTACCGTTAGCAGCAGTAACGCCGTCGTCAAGATGTGCAGCAGAACCAAGGAGGACTAAAAACAGGAGAAAAAGAAACACTACTGTGACCTTAGATTATAAAACCAAACATTTTTCAGGGTGATAAGTGACTTTATTCCATCGCACTGTCCAGCATGTCTCTCTAAGAAGAACAAAAATTTATTTATAACATGAACTCAGAACTCTTCCTTTTGGTTTGTTTCTAAAAAGCTCTGTAAGTTTAAAAATTGCAGAAATCTTCTCGACCACATCAGAAAACTCAGACGAAACAGCTTCCTGGAGGTTTAACGGCTCAGTGAAGCTGGAGACTGGTTTACTGTCCGTAGGTTGAGGAAGCAGCTTCTTTAGGATTGAGAATAAGATCAATATGTTTACACCTAGTGACACAAATCAGTGTTTATCCTGTCAACCAACAGATAAGACATGTGAACAGATGATCATTCAGGAGCGTTCAGCTGGTTTTACAGTGTCAAGTTAAAAAGGCATCAGGCGTCAGGGGGAATGTGTCTCTGCTGATTGGTTCAGGAAAATCGACTCCTCTTCCCCTCGGAAATCAGTGGAGACGATATCAGACGGAGGATGGAAACGTGGCGTAACGAGGTGACGATTCTGTCTGATAGCAGTAGCGACGAATGCAGAATCATTCCTAAGAATCTGCCTTCTGTCCTCTGAGGTTTACTCTCCAAACAGGATGATGAGTAAGAATGAATCTCCTCCATGCTGGACGCCACAAAGAAGTATTTCAAAGAATAACACGAAGGGACGACTCATCCCGCCAGTGTGCAGAATTTAGCAGCATCTCGCCCTGAAATTGCAGGTTGCAATGAACCGAATCCTCCTCGCTTGCTGCTGCCTTTTAAAGCCTGCTGGAGAACCTCTGGTGGCTCCTAAACACACCAGAGACCCTCCAGAGCCTGTCTGGTTCGTCTGCTCTGGCAACTGGACCCTCTGTAGATATAAAAAGGTTCATTCTAAGTCAACAAAAATGCAACAACTCCTACTTTCATGTGGTTACACACTAATAAAGACAGATGCTGATGTTCCATTCACAGGTTTTCTGTTAAATCCTGCTGACTCGGGGCTCCGCTTTGTGTCCTGTTGTTCACTTTTCCGTCTCTGTGTGTCCTCTCAGGTTGTCAAAGAAACCGGGCGACAACAAGGCCAAGAAGAGTAAACAGGTTTCACAGAAATACACGGCGTCTCGCCTCCAAGAAAAGGGCGTCCTGATCTCAATAGAGGATCTGCCGCCCAACCAGTGAGTCGATCTGCTGACCCAGCGTTTACAGTTCATACAGTCGTCCTCAGACATACCCTCACCAGCAAGCTTCTTTAAAATCTGATTTTCTTATTGTATTTAATTATATGTGGCTGTTGTTTTATAAAACAGCGACTTGACTTCACTCTTTTCCTCATGGCAGGTTCAAGAATGCTATTTTTGAGATTTCTCCATCAGAGACCGTCGGCGTGTTTGAAGTGAAGGCCAAGTTCATGGGCGTGCACTTGGAGACATTACAGCTAGAATATCAGGTACTGCTTCTTTAAATTCATTGTCCTCGCAGCAGTGAAGTGACTCTGCTGAGTTTCTGGTTTGACCTTCGTGTTCTCTGCGCCTCAGGATCTCCTCCAGCTGCAGTACGAAGGCGTGGCGGTGATGAAGCTCTTCGACCGGGCCACCATCAACGTCAACCTGCTCATTTTTCTGCTCAACAAGAAGTTCTACGGGAATTGGGGGAAAATAAGAAAGAAAGAAAAGGGCTACAGACACTGAATTTAAACCACAAAACCCGCTTTGAGGGTTGCTTAAAAAGCCCAGAACCATCCTGTCTTTCCTGCACTTCTCCGACGTGCCTATGCAAGTTTACGTGCATTATTTTTTATCACCTGGATCACTATATGTGCTTTATTCTTAACGGAACGCTCCGTCGTGCGAGTTCCTCTTACTGTCTGTACCTGCAGCTAGTCTCTAAGAGGTTGTTGTTTTTTTTTTGCTTTAAATATTATGAATTTCCTGTGCATGGGCTTTGATTAATTATATAAAAGAAAAATGTATGTTTTATGTAAAGAGATTGAGTTTTACGTCTTTCTTAGCCGTTCGTTTGTCTGCTGCCCGTCATCTGTGTCGAGCTGCTTTTCAGGCAGAAAATGAAACAAGGTTTTGTGAGTCCAGGCTGCTTCTTGGACTCCTGCGTGGTCCGAAGCATTTTTCTGTTGCTTCTTGAGACAATTTGGAAAAAAAAAAATCTGAAAGAATTTTGGAGAGAAAAAAAAAAAAGATGCACTCCCTCTGCTCCTCCATGATATATTTTATTTTGAAAATGTACCTGATTTTGAATATGATCCTCCTGCCTCTCTCTTGATTTCAACTCGTCTTGAACACACACAAACACACACGTTAGCATTTTATGATTATCGGTGAAGCAAAGTGGCGTCAGAATGCTGCGCTCATATTGAGCTGCTGAACTCAAAAAGAATTGAATTTGTTGCACGACAGACACTTAAATCTGGTCTGTGCTGGACCGGACGGAGGCGACCTGCAGCAGGATGGGTGGTTTCCTGGAGATGACCTTTCTCGTATCTCTCCTCACCTTGTGAAACAGGTTTATTGTGACATTAAGAAATCAGCTGAGCAAAAAGCGTGTAAGCCAGATGGACGGTGAATACAGAGATGTTTTTCTAATGGAAGTTTCCCTTATTTATATTTTATATGTTGTCAGTCTGCGTTTTACTGTCGTTTCTAACAACCTGAGACAAACCACCTGAGAGCCGGAGGATGTGCAGTATTACAGGAGCTCCAGCGGGTGTCGCTCTACTCCGCTGCATCACAGTGAGCTCAAGAAGCCTGACGTTTATCATCCACACAAATTTTACTGAATTTGGTTTTGTGTCTCATGTGGAGCTGATCACATCGGACCTGGAGGAGACTTTGCTTTCTTTATTATTTGCTCTGATTCACAGTCAATGAAATGTACTTTACCTGTTTTAGAATAAAGCTCTATCAACGTAGTGCGCTTTTTCTTTTTTTTTTTACTAATTTTATGTTTGTGCAGGCAGCAGGAGATTTTATTCTAGACTTTATACCCCACTGCAGAAAAATCCTTTACTTTGAAAAACTGTGGTCAGTCTATGAGATGAGGTGAAATTAAAACGCTGCCTGTGTGTTACAAATAATAGTCAAATATGTAGTTTTGCGTGATACAAGGGGCCTTTCTGCTGCAGAACAAATACTTCAAAATGAATCTTGCTGACAGTACTTTTACGTGTAGTTGAAGTACTGCTACTTAACGTAAAATGTAGAGTTCATTTTCAAAAACAGATAACTTCATGTTTGTAGATTTTCAGAAAACTTTTTTTCTTGAGATAACATCAAGCTGAAGCTGAGTGGATCTGACTCAGTAGAAATGACAAAAATAGAGAAAACTTAAGTTTGATTGATGTTGTCTCAGGTAGACGATGGAAATGTGGGTTTTCTGAAGGTTTGTGAAGATGGAGTTATCTGTTTTTGCAAATGAACTCTTCACATACGTCTCGTACTACGATGTGCAGCTGAAGAATTTATCTGTTGTGGTTCAATGAGGTCGACTCAGAAATAAAGCTGAGGTCTGCAGCTGCTACAGCAGTAAAATTAAGTCGTTATTTATTATGAAGTGCTTTAAAATAGAGAGTTAACATCCATCCATCATCTATCCACCACTTTATCCTCACTGGGGTCGCAGGAGGCTGGAGTCTATCCCAGCTGACTCAGGGTGAAGGCAGGTTCACCTGGACAGGTCACCAGTCTATCACAGGGCTACACTTAGAGACAGACAACCAAGCACACTCACATTCACACCTACGGACAATTTAGAATCACCAATTAACCTCAGCATGTTTTTTGACTGTGGGAGGAAGCTGGAGAACCCGGAGAGAACCCACGCTGCACGGGGAGAACATGGGAACTCCATGCAGAAAGATCCTGGGTGTCCTCACGAACCAGCGACCTTCTTGCTGTGAGGCGACGGTGCTAACCACTGCTCCACCTTGCAGCCCAGAATTATCATTAATGTTACAAATTTATCCAATAAGTTTAAATGTTAAGGTTTGGACCCAACCAATATATATATATTTTTTTACATAATTCTATGAAAATTCTATGAATAGTTGTGGACATTTAAAAATAAAACAATTATTATAAATTAATTTTAAAACAATTATTTGCATTTTTTTAAAATAAAAAACAATATACATTAAATTGTTTAATTAAAATTTCTAAACAATGTCTTAATGTGTTTTGTCACAAGTTTTTGACATTTCCAGTCAGAAATAAATAATTGTGCATTCACTTCAAATTAAAATTTGAATTAACCACATTACATCATTTGTTGATTTAAATTTAACATGCACATTTATAGTAAGTTTTCAGAAACGTTTCAGTTAAAAATAAATGCATTTCCTTGTACATAATTAACTGTGTTTGTTTCCTGGTGATATCTGTTCATGTGAAACACAAACTGGAGACCTGAAGAAGTGTCTTGAATAAGTGCCGACTAAATGTTGTCAAGATTTAAACAACAATCGCGAACTTGACCAGAGATTAGTTGATGAAGAGCCAGTATCAGCTTTTATATGAACTTTATTGTGAATCAAATGTCACTTTCATCATCTCCAATACAAAACAGGCCCTCTGTTAAAATCATAAGTTTCTGCTGTACAGCTGTCAGACATCATGAACGTCAGTCTGTCTGGATTCCTCAGTAACAACTGATGATTATTTAGTCATCGATTCATGTTCTGATCACTGTTTTGATCATCAGTCACGTGTTTTCAGAGCCCGAGAAGTAGAGCTGTCGATATTTTCTCGATTTATCGATTAGTTTGGTCAAAAAATGGAGAAAAATGTCAATCAAAGCCAAACATGATGATATGTTCTCACTGGGGAGACGGTTTTAAAGAGTTAAGAGTTTATGAATAATGACTTTTTCATTGCACGTGCACATTTAAAGATTCCACAAACAAACGGCTCATAAAAAGATAGAGAACTCCTCTTGTGTTTCATTGATCTGCAGAAGAATAAATATTTGAAAGCATTCCTGAGAGCTTCACTGTTTTCTGTTATATTTTGAATTCTCATGTGGTGCTTGAAATCTGTGCTTTTCTTTGGATAAATAAAGACTTTCCCAACATAAATTGATGTGGAAAAGGAACACATTGGTGCCCAAAAATCACCAAAATGCAGCAAACTAGGTGTTGGATTGGTTTGGGTGTGAATAACACCTCATTTCCTATTTTAAACATAGTTTTTTAGACAACTTGTAATGAAAACGATGCATTTTCATATTGTAACTGGGGAAATTTCATGATATTCATTGATTAAAAATGTCTTCACCTGCAGTGTCTTCCTTTAAGTAGAGCTTCTGAGTTAATGTACTCAGTTGTCTTCCACCATGAATGATCATATTGATCAGTCATTCATCAAGTCACCACAGGAAACCACAGGAGGTTTATTCTACCAGCGACCATCAAACCGTTAAACTCCTCCAGCAGCAGACACTTCAAGCTGAATAAAATATAACTTTATAATATGTATAATATGTATTTTCCATGCACAGTATTTAATTCTTATTCAATATTTCAATTTCATGTGTAATAATTGATCTATTTTAAGGTCAAGTATTTATTTTCAGATCAGGAATTTTATCTTTAGTTCCAACATTTAAATTTCATGCGAAGTATTTTTTTTGGATCAAGATTTTCAATGTTGAATTCTCATCTACAATATTTAAAATAAATGTGTAATAATTCATTTTCAGGTCAGTTATTTAATTTTAGATTCATAATTTCAATTGTATGTGTAAAAACAGGAGCCATATTTCATTTTCAGTTGCACAATGTCATCTTCATGTGCAATATTACTACTTCAGAATCACTGTCAGTAAAACTTCATAGATTTTTAATTCTTCTCTTTTTTTAATTACAGTAATGTATCGTATCACTTTTCTATCTGACACTCATGTTATTTATATTACGAGCAACATGTGTCACAAGAAGGAAGGAAGAAGAATAAATGGAGTTTTTTGGGTCTAATTTGACTGTAATCCCACAGACAGAGGTGGGAAACTGCTTTAAGTGCAATTTTAAGTGAAATATTTTTTTTAGATCAAGTGTTTCATTTTTAAGTAGTAATTAATTCTTATATTATTTTTAATTAAATGTGTAATTATTAATTCCCGGGTCTGCAATATCTACATTTAATGTGCACACTCATAATAATTACATTGATATTCATGTGAAATATTTTGATTTCATGTGCAACATTAATTTACTGTCTTTTGTGAGCAATATGTGTCACCATCAGGAAGGAGGAAGGATAAATAAAGTTTGATTGGGTCTTGCTCTACTTTAATCCCGCAGACTGAGGCGGGACACTGCGCTGCGTTTGTCGCCGCCTTGTGGCCGCGGCAGGAAGCGGCAGAGTTTAACGAGGTAATGTTTTTCTCGCAGCACTGAGGAGGATAACGAGCCTGCGGACCTGAGTTGCCGTTCAGAGTCTGTCAACCGACCGAGAGTCAACCGAGAACATCAGCAGCGGTTTCTCTGAACGTTTCTGGTCCAGCAGCGACGGAAGAGACGAGCTTTTTTTTTTCTTCTTTTTTTTTTCTCTTCTCTTTTTCTCCGTCGGCGCTGTTTGTTTATCTTCCCGGAGCCGTCGGGCTGGAGTTTGTCTCAGATCTCCGTGGATTAACGCAAGACTCCGCAGCGCCGTGACACCAACTTCACTGTGGATTCTGCTCCTCCGGCATCACTCGTGAATATTTTGGGGGAGCTGCTTGTTTTTTTTTTCTTTAACTCAAGTCGGATTTCAGTGAAGTCCGTGCGACAGCGGCGGACACTTGTTGAAATTTTTACCGAGCGAACCTCTGCCTGGCGAGCCGCGCTAGTAGCGACGTTTAGCTAACGAGGCTAACAACTTTCTCTGAACAGCAGCTTCAAATATTTCTCCACAAATAGGCTTCAGTTCACGTCGGTTGGATGTTAACTGATAAATGTAACGGCGCGGATAAAGTGTCAAACTTGCTGTTATGGCGCTGACAGCGGCTTAGCTAACTCGGCTAGCAGCTCTCCGTTCACCTCCAGCGTTATGTTAGCAATGACGGCTAACGTTATGTCAACGTTGGATTCAAACAAGTGGTTCGCTCGAAATATGAAGTTATTTTCTACTATTAGCTTCTCGTAATCGCCATTTCTCAACTTTAAAGTTATTAAACTCAGCTTGCAGGCACATATAATCCACAAAGCCTTCATTCGGTCCGCTTTCTGTTCATAAGAACTTTTATTAACGGCAGCTTTAACGTTAGCTTAGCCGCGCTAGCTCGGAGCTCGGCTTGCAGCAGCAGCAGTGACACTGCAGCAGCAGCAGCAGCAGCAGGCAGCGGACTGTCAATTAACTCCGGTTAACCAGTAATGTGCGATGTGGTTTTCAAAACTCTCATGGGTTTGCTGCAACGTCCACTGAGAGAGGAATAGACTCCCGGCGCCGTCTTCCCACTTTTTCCCGAGTAGCTGAAGTTGTCAAACTGCGGCCCGCACCATGTCCGGCTCCCCGGGCACAGGTGGCTCAAACCCCAGGAAGTTCAGCGAGAAGATCGCGCTGCACAACCAGAAGCAAGCAGAGGAGACGCGGGCCTTTGAACAGCTCATGACAGACCTCACCGTTTCCAGGGTAAATATTATTTTGTTGTGTTATTTACTGGTGATCTGCTGCAGGATTGCAACGAGAGTGTGTGTTTGACAGGCTCAGCTGCAGCGGGCTGTCAGTGGGCTGACAGACAGAGCAGAGCTGCTGCTGCTGCTGCTGCTGGCTGAGATTTGTGGTATTCAACCAGTACTTCTTGTTTCTCCTCATGCATTCATTCAGCGGTGTTATATCATACCTGCTGCACAGTTAGAGTTAAAATGTGTGATATTTACCACCACACAGTGAGGAGACACTGACAAAGCAAAGACATACAGGCTGTTTTAGGTGCGCTGATTTACATAAATATTGCAAAGGTTCTAACAGGAATTGGGGAAAATCTCTTCTTATTGGGTTGAACTATTAATGGAAATATGGTGCAACAGTTAAAACACAGAAGCTGCAATGTTTTGATGAAGGTAAAATGTGTTATTCACAGCATAGCAACACAAATAAAGCTTTGTGTTTCTGCAGAGATGCTCTGACCAGCAAATCATATCCAAACATACGGGAACTTATTTGCTTATTTGGTGCAGACTGCAGTATTGACAACAGATAATAATGATAAGTTTGGTTTGACAGGGAAAGATATGCAAAAATTACCCCTCCAGCTAAAATTCTGTCTGTATCTTTTTTCTTTTTTTTTCTTTCACCTTTATTTAACCAGGTGAGTCCCACTGAGATACTTTTTTTTTTTTTTTTAACAAGGGAGCCCTGGCCAAGAGGGCAGCAACAAGGGTTACAACACAAAAAATATAATGCATAATATATAAACACAACAAGGCATAAATACATGAAATACATACAGCAGCACATGACAGCGCATTTAAAGGAGCTCCAGACGTCAGTAACAAACATTTAAAATCTTCCAAGGAAACAAGGTCAGGCAATTTGAGCGTTTTCTGGAGCAGACAATCTGCCAAAAATAATCCCAGTATTTTTTTTTGCATATTGTTGAGCCCTTCGTTCCACCTTCGTGTTCTTTTGTATTTATGAATTTTATGCAGGTTCAAAGCATCAGTGCATTTTGCATCCTGTACAGAAGTGTGTAGAGGGAACAGAGAGTGTTAGCAGCTCTAGAGAATGGAGTATCTGTCACTCAAACTCATATTTGAACAGAGGAGATGAACAGGTACACAATTTCAAATCAAATTCACAGTTTATATCAATGCAAAGAGCAAATCAGAAAGGTTGAACTTTAAAGCCTATGTTATGCGGTACCTCATGGACAATATTAATATGACTATTCAAGGAGATCAGTAATCAGTATTTGGAATTGATATACATTTGGAGTAAAAGAAAGTCTTAGAATAGCACAAACTCCAACACAAAACTTTTCTGGAACGTGTTTGTTTGTTTAGGTTTGCACATATGTCATGAAAAGAGAACAACATTGATCCTTCGATGACAACTGGCTATAATTCTCAACTACAGATTGAGAGAGGCAGCTGCATCAGAGCCAAAGTTTCTAAAGTAACTTACTTGAAATTGGTTAAATCCATAAAAACAATAATGCCACGCGTAATCAGATAATCGGAAAATGTCAGATCTAATAAATGGACCAGATCTGTCTGTCTGTATTTCGCAGCATGCGTGACCCCGGATGGGAACTGACGCAGCAAATGCGTCTTTACATTAAGAAATGGAGTTGCAAATCGAATCACTATATCTTAAGTGTTTTCCACAAATCATTTAGCCCTGCCACATACCAGTATCATTATGACACCGTATCCTATGAATAGCTGAGCTTTGTAGCGCTATAAAGATTATTCTGTAAGGAAACGTGTTTGTTTGACTGCAGTGGACACCATCACTTTGGTTTCATTAGAAAAGAAATGCAAAAATTACCATTCAGACTAAAATTATGGCTCATTTTTGCATATTATTCCGCCCTACTTTGGACAGTACTAAGTTTCAGCCGGACCATTCCCCACAAGTTAAACCCTGATTTGCATCCAAAGTAAGAATCTGCACACAAACAAGAGAGTGGAATCAGAAGGAGATGCTTCATAACGAGGACAAATCAGTCACTCGTGTTTCTTTTCAGACAATCCTTCTGTCCATTTGCATCGTAGCTGTCCCTCTGTAGACGTCTGTCTGAATACTGAACACAGTGATTCACAACAGTCAACAACTCTGTGTCGTATTTATGTACCTCAACCACAGCAAAACATAATTGATGTTTTTTCTTTATCATAATGTCTCTTCGCTTTAAGAACAAAGCACATGAGGTTTCACAGCAGCATGTAATGATAAAACACCTCAGTGCTTTCAAATAATAATTCTTGCTGTCATTATATATTCATTTGGAAATATATTTTGGATTATTAGACTTCAAATTAAGGATCCAAGGTATTGGGAAAGGACATATTTTCTTCACCTAATTGAAACTACTTCAACTTAAATGTAAAACATGCCATATGTATTTTACAATCTTCAACGAAACTGCAAACTTTGAGCCTGATATGTGTTCTCTACCTGTCAGTTGATGGCGATATGTCATTTTAAAGCCTTTACCGGTCGATCAAGATGCCAATATTTTTGTGCATCCTTACTTCCAATGTCTGGAAACTGTCCAAGAGTTACATCTTCAGTCCTTCCAGACTCACAGATGTTCTGTTTTATGATATCAAACACAGAGAAGCACCAGATGGTTTCATTAAAGAAGGCGTAACAAGAAGA